TATATATATTATTTATGATAACTAATTTATAAAACAGAGATTAGAATTTTCATTTAGGCGCACGCATAACTGACGAAACATATCTTCTCCCGAGATTATAAATCATTTTGATATATCTTGAGTTATTCAGATTTAAATTCATGGTCCATTATATATACTGCTCGTTATATTACGTATTCTATTATGGACGTCGATCTTAAATATATCGTGATGTACTGGCCGGGAGAAGCCAAAGTGGAATCTAATTTACGAGATACGATCCACTCGACTAGAAATGCGAGAGTTCGTACGAAGCAGTCGGCTGGACGACCCATCAAACGAGAAGAAAGACCCACGAACGAAAGGAGAACAAATGCGGAGGTCGATCGAGAATAAACTGGAAACTCGCGAATCGCGAGTGTGCGATGTCTCTCACACAAATGCGCACGGACACGCGCACACATACATACGTCTAAATCCTTCAGAAGACTTCGGAAGGACGAGACTCGAAAATAAGGCAGGAACAATGACGAGGAAACGAGTCCTGGCAACGACGTCCGACGGGCATTTAAATGGCGGAACGCGCCGAACCCGAGAAAAGACTCTTCGAGGTGGACCCACGAGGTTCTCCATCACCATCGACGCGGGGAAGTTTGTATAGGACCCATGAAACTGGCCCTCCTTTCAGCCACCGCCACCTTTCTCCTCCTCTTGTCCCCCTTTCGCCGACGTCTTGCGAAATTCCCCCACTTCGCCGGCAGATGTATGCGCGAGGGACACGCGTGTGCTTTGCCCCTTCCTCCCTTTCAGTCCCGTGGGCCCCGCGTGTCACTCCGATCAAAAAGGACTGTCTTACAATTAGACGAGGTTCTAACATCGCTCTCGAGGGCGCACTTGTCCTTTGTTCGGCCGGTCGACCGGGCGAGGAAGCCCGGTTCTTACTTTCCGGACACTCTTCAACGACTCCCGATCTCCCCCCCCCCTCCCCCCGCGCCACCGCGATTTCGCTCGCGAGGCCGGTCACGTTTTCGCATGGTGCCCACGATTTTACATCGTGAATAAAAACGATCATAAGCTCATGTCCGGCGAATTTAGAAACTCAAGCCCACTCCATATTAACTCTCTCTCAGTTGGGGGGATATTTATTATATGATAATGTAAGTAAATGGATAATACGAAATTATTCCGCAGAAATTTTGCATGATTTTGCAGTGAATAAGAATGAAGATAAGTTTATATATGGAAAATTCAAAAATTCAATTGGCCTTTAAATAAATCCTTTATCAAGACTCTAAGAGATAAATAAGGTAAAATATATTTACAGATATATATTTTGCATGATATTTTATGCATTGAGCGGATAAATAAATTTAAATATTTAAGATACGTCCTCACAGATTTATTTAAAAGGATTATATAATCGCTTCATAAATTATTCTTTAATTAGTTATAAAATTCTGCGAAAAGATTACAAATCAATTAGAAATAATTATTTAAATTATATTATAATTATTTTACAAATAAACGTTTTGAAAGATTTCGTAATCTTACTGTCGTATAATAATAAATCTGCGTCTTTTTCCGAGTAAAGTAGATAGGGATAGAATCAATCAAAGAATCTAGTGAAGGGGCTGCACGTTACATTTTTCATACAAGCAGATGTTAATCATATATAGAGGCGGAAATTCATCAATCATGTTTTAGGCGTCGATGGAGTAAGAATTCCAATTAACGATCCTTACATCTCTCTATATATTATAGAAAATTGAGTCTTACATTGATTTCAGCTCATTAATAATTCAACTTTGATTCGTTTCCATAAAAACGAATCTCGTCGAAGGATACGTTCGTACCCTTATCGCGTTGTGGATCGATGATCCGTGAAAATCCGAAATAAGAGGAAGTTACCGGGTAATTTGCATAAAAACTAGTGCTTAGATTTTTACTTAAGAAAGTAATAAACAATCGCACACCGATCGATTAATGTGATAAACAAGAACAGAAAATATAGACAAAAAAAATACGCAGAGAAACTTGGGACGTAAAACAAGGAAGTACGAAAAAAAAAAGAAAATGAGCACAGCCTCGCACCCCTTTCAATCATGCATAATAGCTGCAATGTGCAAGCAGGCAGGCGCCATTGTTTCGCCGGTAAATTTCTGGTCTGACAGGAGAGCGAGATACAACCGTTGAGCAATTAAGCGATCGTTTACTCCCTCAAACAGAAGGGTCGTGAGATTTCTGCTGTAAATGGGGTAGCAAAGTGCGACTTTCTGACGTTTGAAAAAAGCCCTGGATTTTACGATATTTATTAAAAATTTAAAAATGCACTTGTTGATAGATATTTTTTTAAAAATTTAATAATTTCACAACGTTATAAAAAATATTTTAATTCGTGAAATTTAAAAAGCTTAATTATGCATATAGTTAAATCGGAAACTTTTAGCTATATTGTTTATTTTGGCATGTAAATCCCAAAATAAATCTTTAACTAAAATAAAATTTATTTGAAATTAATTTGCAAATAAAATTTTGTTATCTATTCAAAATTTAATTAACCGAAGTTAATTCTTAATCTACTTAATTTAGACATTTCTAAAATTGTTTGGTCGGTTAAATTTCTACTAAAAAATGATCAAACTTGTTAAGATATATGTAAAGATATATCTATTGTAACAAAAACGTATAATAAAACTACTATAACAACTATATAATTCTTAATCCTAACTTATTAAATTCAACAAAAACAATTAAAAATGCACGAAAAATCTTTTTTTAACAGAGTAGACAAAAAATGGAAGATTTACATATTTATATTCTTTTTGCATTCTTTTGAGAGAATGCATTTGTACCTCCCACTAAATTCGAGGATCGTATTCTCTGACCTTTATACCGATCTTTACGAAACCGGTTAGCGCTCACGATCTTTCTGCGGCATGAAAAAATGAACGAACGAACGAAATGAACGAAGCGGATACTCACTGCGTCCTTAACGCCGAGAAATTCAGCTTAACATCCAATATAGGAATCGATAACGAATCACTTTTTCGAGAACACTATGTTCCACATAGCACGATAACGGTCCGGTTTTCGATCGTCGACACTGTTCGAGTCACGTTCGAAATATCGTGAGGCACTGAGGTGTCTGTAACGTGGCACTTCAACGGCCGCCACTACACTGACGAGGTGGGGTGAGAACCGGGGCCTTATGTAGAAGGGGTCCCTAGGTGAACCCACGGAACAGGAGAGACCAATTCGCTGTCTTTCTTTCTCCTGGTCTAACCACAGTTCTCTCTATCCCTCTCGTACTCGATTCCTCTTCTTTAAACCTGACTTGATCACATCGACTACTATAGTCGCGCCAGGAGAAGATCTTTGGTGAATCATCAGTGGATCAACGATGGATTTTTCGATTCATCGGTCCACGTTTTTCAACTTTTCATGTTTAAATACGAGATAAATAAATGTTACACTAAGATAAATCTTGATTCATATAAAATATTTATGTCTTATTCTCTCTGAATTAACAAACAAAAAATTGTTCAACGATATTTTTTATAGAATATTATTATAATCAAATCCAGAATACAGTTTTAAATAAAACAATTATGTAAATGGAGTTTCATGAAAGACAAATCACTCGTTTCGCATGCGCCAAAATCACTATTTGCGGTTGACCGCAAATAAACGAAAGCCTCCAAATCGCTTTACAGTCGCCAATATCACGAACGATACTTTGAAAAGACGTGAAGATTATGCAGTACAACGGATTCTGAAACGCCGCAAGGAGAAGTTCTTTGTGAACTCCTCCGCTTGGCACGTGCCAAGGACACCCGTCGCTTCCTTTCTTCGTTCACCATTCAGGGAATCCAATTACTCGTATGAATTTCTTATACGCTCCTGATGGCGGCCTGGATCCTTTGAGTTCAAGATTCTTGGCGAATCCATCACGTTTCATTGGCCCGATGATAATTGTATGTGTGTGTTTGTAATGGTATCCCAGCTGAAAATCAATACCATTCGAGAAAACTTTTTGTTCTTCTTTTCTGTCTTATTTCACAACATATTCAAAATTCCGTCACAAGGCGATTGATAGTTGACGATGATCGTATTAGATCAAAACTAAAAAATAATGTTTATCTCAAATATTTATTCCACGAAAATGTTAGAATTTGTTAGTAGGATAATTTTTTAAAAATATAAAATATACAGCTTTATATAAATTTCAAATTTTTCTTACTGCAAATATTTAAGAATTCAGATTTAAAATCTATAGGATATATAATATTTGCTCTTGTGTCCGTAACTCCCTTCCGCAGTTGACCAATTCATCGAAATATTTCTCTATACCTGTAAAGAAATTTTCATACCGAGTTTTGATACGGTTTGACTCCGCGTGTTGGCAAGCTATGCGAAATTGCATTAGAGTATTCTCCGGACACCCAATTTGTTCGAGCAAGGTGAGCAAATATTATTCTTTTGGCGACTCAGTCAATCCTCGACATCGAGACGTTTGAGACTTCGCAAACGTTAGATCATAGTGATGTGAAAAATAGCAAAGAACGGTCGAAAAAACCGCACCGATCATCTGGAGATAGATCGCTACATGCGGGACAGCTGCGTTTGTAGAATCCTATAGACACGTACTCGGGTCTGCAGGGTGCCCCAGATTTATCTTATTAAATTTATTTATAATAAAATACTCAAATTAATCTCTTCAAATTATCATATTATCTATCTTTTTACCCCATAATTCACTTAAGTTCTTATTAAATATTTTGCACATGCCAGAAATTTTCAGGCATACAATATATTTCACATATACATGATAATTTAAATATAAATGTTTTCATATAATTGTACCAAAATAATAATGCAATGATAATTAATTTTACGTACACGAACCATTATTGATATCATTAATAACTCCGAAATCTTGCTGTGTTTCAAAGACTTAACGGATATAAATGTGCCATTGTGTATGTACATTACTGCGCATCGATCTTGCGAGCATAGATCAATGAGGGATCATGGTAGCTAATAGATCGTGTTATTCAGGAGTGACGAGCCGCGGTTGTATTGCGTTGCGACCACAAGGCCCCGCATGTTGTCGCGACACGTAATTAGAAACGGTTTGCGCGTGGACGTTTATGAACACAAAGGAGCCGTTCATCTAACGCGCGATTAACTGTTACATTCATCTTAAAGCTAAAATAAGACGGGACGACAAAAGTATTTTGCAGAAAACACGCAAATATTTTAATTATTATTTATAATTAAATTAGAAATATTTTCCAATTTTATTGAAAAGAAAAAGATCAAAAATTGTTCTTTAAAATTTCTTATTCCAGAAAAAGAAAAAAATTATATCTTTTGTTATATCCTTGTACCGCTTTCAACAATTTTCCCATCAGTAATGTAATATATAATTTATTCTATTTATTTATATATTGCCATTAATGATTTATCGTTAATGATGTTAATAATAAAAGTTAAATAAGATGAAAAAGTAAAAATCAGAAAAATATCTTTAGCAGGCCACAGATTATCAAACTTCTTGTTTGAAATAACAAGTGAACTTAGTATGACATTAACAAATCGCTGGCCGATTTCATGAAAAAACAATCATCTAATCGATCAGTGATTTTTTAAGCGAAAAAAAATTATAGCGTTTTTCTATTGTTCCTGCAAAAAAAAAAAAAAGAAGAAAATATACATTGTACTCTTTTACGGAGTCTGAAAAAGTGCAGAACATGGTCATTGTTTGCACTAAAAGATCTTTTTTTCCCAGCAAAAAATTGTTACGAGACTGAAAAATCCCTTGCTTTTGTCGTACAGGGCAAAGGTCCCCCAAACTAGAACAGCATGCGATTATTCGCGAAACTCGCACACTGAAAATAATTTGAAGAAAAATTACTTAGAGAACAGTCTGGAAGATCCTTAATTAAATATATAAATTCTTCCAGACTACTGATTATTTAGAATTATAATTGAAAAATAATTAAACTTGAAATAGATAAATTTGTGAATTGATTATAATATTATAGATCATATCTCTAAATATAATCTTAAAAATCAATCTGAGTCGAATATTTACAATACTCCTATAAAGCACAAAAGTGCTATCTTTCTCACATAAATATTTATAATATTTGTGAAATTATATGAAAGTTATATATATGAACATTTAATTCTTTAAGTATCATTGTATAGAAAAGGGTATATACGACTTAATAAAATTTAAATAGAGAAAAGGCGGAAGAAGATATATTATTTACTAGAGAGATATTGATACTGAAATTCCGTGCCTTCTCGAAAATATTATTTTGCGATCGCGCAGGTGCAAGATAGAGTTTTTTTTGCAGCGGCAGGTGACATTGTGAATGCTTTGCAGCGGGACTTTAATATTTTAATTATATGAAAATCAATCTAACCGATGGCGCGTTTGAGCAGGCGCTTCGTTACAGCTGCAGAGAATAAACGTACGCGTGGATATGTAATTAATATTAAAAGATAAAGAGAGATGTGTGTTAACTTCTATATTTCTAAATTTTTTTTTTCTGTTTTAGCAAACTTTTGTTAAATTTTAATAAATTTTATATTTCAAATAAATGTATATATCTTATTGCACTTAAAGAGAAGCCTCCCAAAACTATATAACATATGTATATATTCTTTGATAAATTTATATCAAAATTTATTATTATCACATATATCAATTTCATAATATCAATAAAAAAAATTAAAGAGCAGCCCGTAAAAAATGAAAAATAGTAATGTCAGATAGTCAGGTAATAGAAATGCGTGGAAAAGATCAGATGATGGCAATGGATGATGAACATGTCACTTCAACAAAGAAGCATCGATAATCGTGGCAGGATTCGGCACCCCGATGTAAGATGCTCCTTCCGACTGCAGCTTTAATCGCTTAGGGTCGCGTTATTTCTAAACCGTTAAACTCACTCATTTTTTCTTGCTCTTCAAAACACGCGAAGCGTATAATTTTTTTTCTTTCTTCGATTTATCCTATATCGGAAAGGCAATGGAAAGGCGTGTGCAAAAATGATGTAACAGCCCAGCAAAAGATATTTGGCCTTTACGTTTCTGTCATACGTTTCCATCTCTTTTTTGAATAAATGATAATATAACAGATATCTGGAAAGTGTGCTGAATACAGGGCGTGTTTGATATTTGTTTAGTGCGTAATAATACTCCTTAATACTTGATCTTGTATAATTAGTCATCGCTATTAATTGCTACTACGCTATTTATACATAATAAATAAACATGTAAACAATATTTATTAAATACAATTACAAAATATAATAATCTAATATATAAAATCTATATCTAATATATATATAAATCTAAATCTAATATATATATAAATATATCCAATAATAGCAAATTTAAAAATTTTTTGACATTTTATATTGATATTAATAAAAAGATGCAAGTTTCTCCAAAAACAGGATAATTTCATACACTTTCCGGAAATTGCATTACGTTGTGTGTCACTAGACGAATTTTTTCACCGGATATACGATGGAAGGGACACGCGGTCCTCAATACCACAGGGTGACTGGTACACGCGAAGCAAGTTCAGTTTCACACGCGACCACCCGTCGACCGAAATTGCATATTCATGCGTATATAAACCTACGCGACTCCCGTTCCTTTTATTTCGGAAATAACGTAACGGCGCATAGGCAGACAGAGAGAGGGAGAGGGAAAGAGAGAGAGAAAGAAAGAAAGAGATAGAGTGAGCATACCGGCGTAAATTCTTGACAGGTGCTGGTCCTGATTCATACCCCGCTGTCGTCGTATTAACCGCATTAATTGGCTGAGGGTGCTGCGGGCCAATACCGACCGACCGCAATCTAAAGCAACAATCGTCGGAAATCCGGCGGGTCGAGGCAACCTCGAAAATTAAAGATCTCGGCTCTTTACTTGAATCAAGATTTAATCTCAATTCTAATCACCAAGATATACTCGAAATTAAAATTGCAGGAATAGTAACGAACGTTTTCTTCAGTTTTCTTTATAATTAAATGCCAAATTCAAATTAGATTAAATCAAATAAAATTCTGTTTAAGTCGGCCCTAAATTAACTGAAGAAACTAATTATTAATTATTTATTTGTCTCTATTTAGTTACGAAAATACTTGTTGTTAATAAAATTTCTATCAAAGAATAATAACACACACACACACACACACACACATATATATATAAATGTAAAATCTGCAAAAAATAAGAATCTATTGCAGAATTATATATTTATCTGTCTACAATGTATAATTGATTTCAAAATATATAATTAAATTTTATAAGCCCCTATATTTAAAAAACTGTTTACATTCGTTGTATTTATCACACATTAATTTCTATTCATTAATTTATTTATCGCTCTAAATCCACACACGTGAGTCTTTGCAAGAAAATTAACATAATTCTATTAGTCTAA